ATTCACACCAATATGAGTGTGTCTTTCTTTTGGGGGACCTCCAAATGGCTTCGGTGTTTCTCGTGGTGTCCCTTTAAAGCCACGAACAAGGGGTAGCAACTCCAAAAATCCTGCACACCCATTGGCACCAACCCCCAAGCGCGGCAGACTCGGGGACTGACTTTGTGCATTTTGAGATTCCCGAGGACGAAATCCCTTCGCACCACGAAATGAAACCACAGTTGAAACCATTGCTTGTTGGCACTGGTATTTACAGGGGAATCATATCATTCCAGGGTGTCTTAAGGGGTGCTGGATTTCGCAACCATCCACAGTATTGCTTCTTGCCGAGGCCGCAGACAATGCGCTGATTATTCCTGAGACCCTGTCAATGGTATCTCCGTGGATGAAAATGGAGCTCGTGATGGATGGTACACTCACCATTGAAAGTTGATTCCAAATTTGTTGATGTGATTGAACAAATTTACTTAGTAACTGCAAGGACTATGTCATATATACATATATATATATATATATATCCTGTTTGTGGAAGATGTCCTCGCAACATACACGCAACAAGTCCTTGACCGCTATGCCAAAGGCAAAGTTTCACCCCGCTCGATACAAGCCTTGCATGGCAAAAAGAGAGAAAGCGGCGCCGGAGGTGGCATAGAAGGCCTGCCACAGTCTCAGTCCTGCAGCTGCTTGGAGAACACATGCAGACGGGTCCATTTGCATATTTTCCGGGCTGGGTGGGCTCGCGGCTCGTGGTTGCGCGGGGGGGGGGGGGACCCTGCCCTGGGGGGGGGGGGGTGGTGGCCTGGGGACTGGAACATATATCTAGCTGGTGTGAGAAGCAGGGAATCAGGGAATAAACTGGAAAGGAAACCAAATCGGGGATGATTTTTCTCGGGGTCAGACTCCATTTTCTCATTCCCTTCTGAGCAGCACCAAGTATTTTCGCGAAAGGGATGTGCGAGGGGGTGGACTGCTGGGAAGGCTATGGTAAATAAACAGTGTGGTTGCTTTTGTTGGCCAATCCACTCGATCGGAAGAGAGAACAACATGATCAATAGGGGATGGTCATCTTGGTGGTTCCCATCCATGTCCTTATGTTTTTTAGGCTTCTTAGTTTGCCCTTGGGGTTTAGGTTTTAGTTGATTTTGTGGTTGGGTGTCCGACTTTAACCAACAAGTGAAGCTCACTTCTAGCAGCTCAGAAAATGGACAGCATTCCTAGCTCCGGGACCGGATTGGCGATTTGAGCCAATGCGTTGCTTCCATTTGCTTAAGTGTTTTTCCCTGTTGGTTTTAAAGGGAATCTATCACTACTGGAAATACTTTTTTTTTTTTTCCGGGGGGCTTAAGCAAATGGCAGTTTTGGGTTCGGGTGACAGGCACGGCAAAAAGAGGCACGCCATGCGGACTGAATATATTCAAGGGACTGAACAAAATCCGTGTCCAGGGCTCCTTAAAAGATACATTTTGCCCATCGGAACCCTCAAAGTTGCGGGTTCCCTTTTGGGTTCGAAGCTACGCCTTTAGAATCGGCACCCGCTAAAACAGAAGCACCCAAACAACGCACGCGAATCACACACGCCTGATCCCCCTCGTTTGGAGCCGTCGTTCGTTGATTCCAACGTTCTAACCAAGAGCTCGCAGGCAACTGCCTGCCCGTCCGACCGTCCGCAGCACCTTTGGCCCTCCTTTTCCTTTTCACTCCTCCCCGCCTGCCCCCCTTTGCCCACTGGCAATCATGTGGAGCGCCAGGCAGGATTTGGGATTTGCCTGCCTGATGTCGGCAGAAACTCTGAAAGTTTGCGAACCGCAAATTTGATGGGAACAGCGATTGTGCCTTTGATTTTCGGCATCCGGAAATATGTTTGAGAATCTTTGGATTTGCTCACGGGAACCTTTGAGTGGCATATCGCTGTGCCACTCACCCTTTTTTTACGCATGGAAACCCAGAGGTGCAGTCGTTTTAGAATTCTTGGGCCATGCGGGCAGGTGTTGGCGCTAAACACGGCCTAGACCGTTTTGAGTGGGATTTGTTCAAGTGACAGCAAAAGTGATGAATCCCCAGTAAAAGGGGACACCCCCCCAGGAATCAACCAGGGGTTTATTACTCCGGGGTCAACATTAGTTGAACCTTTCTTCGGGAGGCCGCGTTCTGGTTGTTCACGATATTCCTGCGCCGCTTTGTGCGACAGTTCCCCGCTGAAGGCTACGGCATCTCACCGGAAACCGCACAGCGCAAGGCCTCTCAACCCATTTCATACATTATCCAGACAGGACACCTTGAGGGGCTTAACTTGATGGCTACAGTTTTCGAACAGGACCTCCTCAAGTGAAAGGAGGGGTCGTCAACTGCTTTCAGTCAGGCCACTGGTGTCCTTCAGTGATGAGCTGCGCACGTGGGGCGAGGGGCTCAGGCGTACACACCTGGTCTTTGTCTCGTTTTGCAAGGCGCATCGTCATTTTCGCGGTTTTCTTACCACCGGGTACCACCTACCGCTGAGTACCATTTACCACCGGTCACAATGGTTTCCAGGTTGGAAACGGATACGTATCCCCCTTAAGCACACGAAGAGAAGATTCAGCCACACTTGGTCCAAAACGTGAAGTTTAAACTGGCAAATATAGGGATCACGATCACCGTGATTCCCAAGGTTCCCGAAATAAGTAATGACGAAAGTGAAGTTGAATGAGGTTTCTTGAGGGTGGATTAAGGTTGTACTTCATTTGCGAGCTGCAAGGCTATGTGAGAGCTTTTTTTTGGAGGCTACCCTTTTTGGCATTGGTTCACCGGGAAACCACATTTTTGGGAGTCCAACTCCTTATTTTAACACATACCCATAGTGGAGTCCAGATTTCCTGGACCCAATCGCTGAAGAATTCATTGCGGCTTGGCCTCGCTGGGGTTAGGGGTTCTCCATTCTGGAGGCGGGGTTCAGGTTGAGTGACTTTCATACTGTGGATGGTTGCGAAATCCGATTCAACGGGATGTCTGATTTCTCTGTATTTTAGACAGCAATTGGCTTCAACCATGATTTCAAAGTGGTGCAAACGGATTTCGTCGATCCACAGGAGAGATGCACCACACAAATCGCAAAAAGGAACATGTCGGGGCACCTGGCCCTAAATCAAGGGCCTAAACGTGCCTTACCAGGTATGCAGCAGCTTGAGTTGCTGAAAATGGCTTATTTTTTGTTTTTTGTTAGTGTTCCGAAAAAGAAACTATATGGCAAGCCAAAAGCGGCTGGGCAATTTCTTGAATTTCACACCCGTAATTACTCAACACCCGGGTTCTATGGTTTGATTTGTCTTCAGCTTTCCCATCCAACTGTGTTTTTGCGAGCAACCAGCGTGATTGGCATGGGGTTGTTTGTTTGCGCGCGCCAAAGCCGGCACTTTCTCAGTTACCCAAAGCCGACCTGTTGACCTTTTGGTTTTCCCATGTTGGTCCATATTTAGTCAACGTCACAAATGGCTAGCCTTTTTATGTCCAGGTCCTTTGGGCAAGTGAGTTTGTGGTTGGCCTCTATGCACCACGCGGCAGTTGTTGCTGTGTGCCTGCTATGGAATGGCAATAATTTGTGTCTTACATGAACGTGGGCATCAAATTGCAAGAGTTCAATCCACGCAGTGTGCGAAGTGCTGTGGCCGTTCTTCGGCAAGATCTTGGTGGCAAAATGCATTTTATGTGAGCTGCGGAATGCATGGGTTCAATTTTCTTGGCATGGCAGGAATTGCCTTCCCTGATTCAGAATGCAAAAAGGGACACATACGAAGCAGAGAACCATCAACCCCCCGAGCCTTGGGTGGAACACATTCCACGGTTCCCTTTGTTGGGGGTGTGTACATTAATCTGCGTCAGAAAGCTGTCATGTGCTCAGCCTACTGGTATGGGGAAGGGTTTGGGTTCACTCTGCAGACGTTTTGGAAGTTGTTTGCTGACCCCCAACCAGAACCTGCGGTCCACGTTTCCTGCTGGAGAGTATGGGCATGCGGCTTGGAGGGAACCTAAAAAGAGGAAAGCCGGTTTCTTTGTGGTTCCCTTTGAAACTGCGCCCAAAACAAGGTGTTCCTTTTGTGTTTTTGGGGGGTGGGGAAGTATGCGTTTTTGTTGCTGTAGTGTTTGGTTGTTGCCTTTTTTTAAGAAACGACAACAACTATATATATAATATTATTCCTGGTGGTGGTTGTTTGATGTTGTTTGGTTTTATTTCTTTCCTCGTGTTGTTCTGTTCTCGCGGCTTTCTTTTTTGGGCCGGCGGGGGGTTTTTGCAGACGGAGGCCGGGAGGTGGCGCTGCCGCCGGCCTTCGCCTCCGCGGCCAGTGGCAGACCCTTGCGCCACGGATCGAAGTCGGAAGATCCACGGAAGGGGTCAACTGGTAATCCAAGAATGAAATGCAAAGGGGGATATTCATTAATGCAAGAAGTATCCAATTCCTATGCTTGGTTTTATTTATTGGGTTTAGTCTCTTGTTTTTTTTTCCAACAAAAAAGGTGGTTTAGGGTTGGGCTGGTTCAGAGACCTGTTTGGTTTAGGGTTTCGGGTTCAACGTTCTTGGGTTTTTGCATGGGCTGTTGGACTGTGTTGCGCTGTTGTTGAGCTAACTGTTGGGCTGTTGACCTGTTGCTTCAATCAAAACCCAAGATGAAGTCTAGTAAGGGACGATCCCAACCAGAAATAGGTGCGGACTCCCGCCTCCTTGATCCTTTACATGGTTCCGGGTTCACCATTTAACCCGGTTTTTGTGACGCACCTGGGCCGATCGGGATTCTTAACCGAGCGGGTGGGATTCTTCTTGTTTTCCTGCTCCTGCTTTCCCCAGCAGGTGGCCCTGGGCTTTCTGGGGCTTCATTGGAATGGAACACCCCCATGATTAGGGCTTGATGAATCTGGGGTCAACGGCTCGACTGCCATTGGGGTGGATCTTTAGACTTTCAGACTTTTTGGGGGAAATCGAGGGGGTGTTCCACTAGACCCCCAAAAAGTTAAACGTTTTGCAGGGGGTCAAGAGCAATCAAGGGAATGATGTCTGATTCGAATCTGTAAATACCAACAAATGGATTTCGTGCACCCAAAGTGTGGATGGACATGTTGTTTGCACCGGTTGGTAGGTGGTGTATGCAGTTTTGTTTGATGGGTTTAATCCTCTTTTTTTAAAGTGTGTTTAGTTTGTTTGCTGTGTCTCATAGTTTCAGATCGATGATTACTTGATCAACTGCGTCCTGAGTGCTTCCACCGAATTTCTTCAGACAAACACATAAGGGGGTGGGGTACTGGATGGAAAAATCCGATTCGCACCGGTTGGTGGTGGTTTCTCCCAGTAGGACTTTTCATATAGCCAGATAGTAATTAGGTGATGTCTTCCAGTATGCATATGGTTCTGTCCATCTCAACTGATCGCCAATGTGGAAACCCTTGATTTGTGGGAGGGGTTGCCTTACTAATCAGGGTATCGGGATGTCAAGATCAGAAGCCAACTTCAATCAGAAAAGCCCTCAATTGCTGGGATTTGAACCACTGGCCAGTGGGTCAATGAGACGTCCTGGAAGCCAGAGGGTATCCCCTTTTTGTTTTTCAGAGAACCCGACTTTTTAGGGAAAGGAGCTGTTGTTTGCTTGTTGTTGGTTTGTTTGTTTCTTTTTTCATGTTTTTCCATTGTTTCTTTTCTTTTTGTTTTTGCTTGTTTGCTTATTTATGTTTTTGTTGGTTTGGCCGGTTACTTGCTTGGTTGGTTGGGTTGGTTGCTTGATTTGCTTGCTTGGTAGGTTGGTTGGTCTGTGATTACTGTTACTGGGCAGGGTAGACATTCCAGCGGTATGGATGAATCTGATTCCACTTCCACTGTAACGGGGTATATCAGTTTATCTGAATGAATAACATTGGGATCCATGCCTTTGGTGCTCAAGATGTTTCAGCCGGAAATCTGCTTGTACACTTCCAGAGGTCCAAATCTGTGTTGTCGTTTCGTTGGCCTCGGGGGAAGAGCTCACCGCGCCTAGGCAAGGCGCCTCCCTTCCACAGAGCCGCTGCCGGGATCGAAGAAGGCCTGCGTTGCGTTTTTTGTTTGCTTTTTGGTTGTATCTTGAGCCGTTAAAATGGGGGACAAGTGTTTTTGGGTTGTCTGTTCATTTTTCGAAGGAGGCTGCAAAGAGTAAAGTTTTGTGCTACCATACCAAGGGTTCTGAAGGAACAAATTTGCACTGTCCATCATCTCCCAGGTTTGCCTCTTTTGCACGCTAGCCACTGAGTTACAGGTGCCGCTTGGTGCGTGCTCGACGCGAGCGAGATAGACGCATGGATCCATAGTGACTTTCGGGGGCAGGGTGCAAGTGGAATGGAGAGGACTTTGGAGAGCTTGGGAGTGAAACATGCTGGTTCCCAGCCATCCGGTCTCTTAGGTGTTTTTTGCCCTTTAGTTGGTTTCGTGGTAGTTGTTGTACTGAAGCCACCAAAAAGTTTTCGACTGGCCAGCCCAGTGAAACTCGTCTTCTTTGGGGGCCGCGGCCATTTGGATCGGACCGCTTTTTGGGTCATTTCCATGTCCATGCTGGGTCGGAAAACGTCGCTTTATGGCTATTTGGCTGGATCTTTGGACTTTATTTTTTTGGTGGACCAAGCGAGTTGGTTTGCGATGTGTTTGTTTTGCTTGTCAAGAAGTATATGCACCTGCGAGCAGGGTGGTCCAAGTCGCAATCGAAATGAGCAGCACAGTATGTAAAGGATCCTTCCTTCAAGAACATGCGTTGCCTGGTGACTTGGCCTGGGAACAGCATCATCCCCGTTCTCTTGGCTGCGTTGCACGGGACACCTGGCAAGCCTCGAATCCTTTTCCGCTGACGTGAGCAATACATCTAGGTGTCATGGCCACAAGCTGAGAAGATATGGAGTTTCATCTTTGCTTCTGACATTGTTCAAGTGAACCATGATTTGGGTGCGGCTCAAAATTAACCAGGAGGGGCAAGCCGCAGGTGTTGGTCCATGTGTCCACTTACCAGGGTTCCATTTTGGTGCCGGTTTTTTGAGCCACAGCCATTTGAGTTCCACTTGAAGGGCCTCGTCACGTGGCTTTGTGCTTTGGATGGGCCCTCAAGGTACAGATCCGTTGTTCACGGCCCCACGATTCACTGGAGGGATTTACTGGGGGGGAAAAAACCCTAAACCCCAAACCATTAACAACCAGATGATCCCTTCAGGAGAATGGTCCAAACCAGGACCGGTTCCCCGAAAAGGAGCTGGTCTTTTTGCTTCTCGGATACGGCCAACCCAGAGCTCCTTCCTGGCATCCAGTCTGGTCTAAAATGACGACGGGCCACCCTTGAACAAACAGATCAGACAATGTGAAGATCAGGCTGGGTCCATTGGATATATGATATTTATTTCCAGAAGGCACAGTAAAATACAGTGTTTTGTAGCATTTGTCATGTTAACATCACATCCCCACCAACACCCGATCTCTTTATTTAGGGGGGTTCCAACTACAATTTCTGAACAAGACCCGGCAGTTTGGATCCAGGTGAACATTTCGAGCGCTTCTTACCCCTCCCAGCGATTCCATGGGAGAGTTTGTGCACAGACCGTAGAAAGACGAGAAGTTGGCCTTGCACAAACCCTTTGGTTAGTTGGCGGGAGGGTACCCTTTGTTCTTGGCTTCAAATGGTTAAACCAACCGGGAAAAACCACCATTTTTAGTTGGTGGGAGGGTGTTCGTTTCTAAGGGCCGCGGTGAAAAGTTTCTCTTCGAACCTCCTTGTTGAGGATGGACTAGCTCAATGGACCCATTCGCGAATCGCCAGGGACCGCGAATCCATGGGCTTCGCTCGGAAGATACAGCATCTGAGCTGCGAGCGGAGGGGTCTGACTGAACTTTGGTAGTTCACCTATTTTGGGATTCATGGGAGTTTCAGGGGATTCCTTAGCTTTGGTGCATTGTGCTTGGATGTTAGGACGTTAACTTTTTGCCAGCTAATGGGTTTTCCATTAAACCACTAAAAGTGCAGGGGAGGAGAAAGCAACCAGTGGATTTGCTTGTTCACTAATTTGCCGACTCCACATGAAACAAAGTTGGCGAGTTCTCCAAAGTGTGGCGAAGATTGGCTTTCCCCGCTTTTGACTGCAAACTTAACAAGATGTCGTTCAAGTTCCTTCCAATAGTCCATGCTCGGAAATACGCTTTCTGCAGAACAGGGTTCCACTTCTTATTACCCTATGATATACCTGGACCTTCCGTGGGCTCTTTTTTGGGGACACTCCGCCTAAATCCGTTTGTTTCGCACAAAAGTGTTTGTTGCAACAAAAAACTGTCCGTGTCTTAGATTGTCATTCCGATGTAATCCCGCACAGCGAAAAATACTGCGCCGCTTCCACATGCATTGGCTGAAACATTGAGAACTGGCTTAATTATAGTTGCCTGGACATTGAAACTTGCGCCTGCGCAAGGGACCTTACTCTCTAAGAACGAACTATCCTTTACAGCAAGCATGTGTGTGAGAAGCCTGGGGGCTTTGCTGACAGCATCCTCTTTTGCTTCGCAGCTACATGACAAGTGTGTCAGAACAAGCGGAGCTTCAACAAGGAGCTGCTTACACGGAGTGAAAGCAACAAAGCTGTTGCAAAAGGCCCACCGCAAACACCAGTCCAGTAGTCCCTGCACGCGTGTTGCACGCCCCCGCAAGAGTTGACCCTGTAAGAACTAAAAACACAGCTTTCAAGGGGGCCGACACACTGCCCACAGACAAGGGTAAGAAAGCAAGCATTCCACGCAGCGCATGGCTTCCCAAAATCCAAGTTCCAACGACGACAAGAACCATAGGCACCAGACATTATTGGAATCCGTGTTTTTCCGTCCGTTTCCCGCCGTTTTCCGTCCGTCTCTCGTTGTCCCAAGTCAGGCAATTGTTGCAACATGTTGCAAGAAAACAAGGTGGGCGAAGGTCTGTCAGGCTCTCAAAGCCCAACAGGCAGAAAACAATCAAAGCTTTGGTGGATGTTGAGTTTCTTGCAGAGGTGGGCAAACCCACTTGCATTTTGTTTTGCATCCCGGCGCATGTTTTTGTTTGTAGCCCCAGCCCTTCTTTTTAAGAACATGTTCAGTTTTAGAGTTTTTTCGTGACCGCGGCCGGGCCACAAGTGTTCCGGAAGCAACTCAATCCCCAAGCCTTAGGTTGTTTGCCTTGAGCAATCACTCTGGACATTTTCTTTGCAACAGCAATCGGGATGTCAAATAGGTGTGGACATGCAGTTCTTTGTTGTGGCACACGAGGCCCGCTTGTTTGATTTGCATTGGAACCCTGGCGCTGCAGTTGGCGCAAAGATCGGTGCAGAATGGTACCAAAGCCGCGCCTGAAGAGCCAAAACTTCAAAACACTGGCGGAATAGCGGCCAAGCATTTGATTAAAGCCTTTTGCAATGAAAACAAAGCGTTGACTGCCCGAAGTAGCTGTAAATAAACACCGAAACTGCCTCGGCGTCTCCACAGCTGATTTCCTTGCGTGGGCCCTCAACAGAGTCAGCTGACGGGAGGCACAGACGGAAATTTCAGTACAACAAGAAGGGCCAGGTATACCCTCCGGGTGCGCAAAATTTCCGCCGTTTGGCGAAAAAGCAATAATTTCCGCTGTTTCGTGCAAGAAGCGCTTTTTGACCCAACAACTGCTCTCTTTCACGATTGCCGCGAAGCGTGTCAGAAAAAGCGCGTCTTGGTCCGGTAAAAGCGCTTTTTGACCGAGGAAACGCGCTTTTCCAGCACAAGCCCAATCAAGAGGGAAAAGCCCGCAGCTTTCTCAGCCAAAAAGCACTTTTTCTCGAAAGAGCGCAACAAAGCACACCTTGGAGTATCCAGGTATATATAGACTCTACCCCAGGGTTGGTTGATTTCCCCCAAAGGCAAGCCCCTGTGTTTGCGTCTATCTTGGGGTAGCAAAACAAGTGGAACCCTTCTGCAGAAAGGTTCCCTGAAAAGATTGCACAGACTGAGAACTCGGGACCATCCAAGCGCTCAGACCATCTCAGACCTATCCACGCCAAACCCGCCAAGATCTCACCTGAGTGCTGGTACAGCAGTAAAGCGCGTGTTGGTGAATACCCACCAGAGCCGATCAATACACAGTTCAGCTGTGGGTGATGGAACCCTCTATTTCCATGACTAATTATATGTTTTTGTTGCTTGGACCCTGGTTTGCAGATAACTCCCACGTCCACATTTGTGGGTCCCCACTGAAAACTCAGACCCACAGAATCGAGGCGCTTCTCCTTTTTCGGCTCCTTGCCTTTGGATCTGGGGATGTGTTGCTACGCCAAGACTCGCTCATGATGTTAGCAGTAAGCCGGGGCACCCCTGCAAAGAGTCAACTTGGTGGCTCCCAGCCATCCGGTCCCTTAGCTTTTTAGCCTTTTAGTGTTTAGTGGAGTTTCCATTTAACCCACTATCAGTGAACCTGGTGGAGTCGTCGAATTGGCCCTTCCCATTGCCCCCCCCCCCGCCCCGAGCTGCAGTCCTGAGGGTCCCTATCATGGAACCAGACTGAGAGGTATGTAAGCCACACGTACAGAGAACCTCCACAACCCATCCACAGATATGGACTGGTACCATTTTGGGGTAGCTGAATTCACCACCCATTTTAGTCCTTTTTTAGTGGGGATTGGGATGTTCACCGGGGGTACGATATGGATTTTGACCCATAGCCATATGTCCGCAATTTCTGCTTCTTCTTGTTTTTTCTCTGGAGATATGGTGGATGCCCTACATTTTGCAAGGGATACTGTAAATTCAGACTTGGATTGTGGCTGGTTTGCTTGCAACATGGCTAGGGCATCTTCCCCATGCTATTCATTGCTCAGCTGGTTTCCGGTGGCCATGCCGCGGTTTCATCCGTCTGCGCGGGTGCAACTAAGGGTTGAAATTTGAAAAATCTAAGAAACCCGATCCAAGAGATGGAGCCAACTTGGTGTTTGGGCATTTGAAATGAAATGCCAACTTGTAGATGTTCGTGGAGCTGCTTTTCTTTGGTAGACGACTTCCAACTTTTGGATGGGGAGCTGCCACCACGCTTTTGTGTGCCTTCCCCTCCAAAGCGTTGGCGAGCCCCAGGTGCACCAGTTTCCGACAGCGGCTGGGCGGCACTTTGAGCGAGTTCGGTCAGCAAAGGGCGAGATGAAATTCAGTGGTCCTTTGAGCAAATGGGTGTGTCGTTTTTGAGGGTACCCTTTGCAGGCTGATTTTAAGGGAAACCAAAGGGACACCCACCATGTCAAGCACTTTTTTGAGAAACACAAACTGACCTGTTGGCTTTTGGTCAAGTGTTGATCTGGGGATGTCTCAAAATCAGTTATAAATCGGGGACCCAACGAATGGCTGATGTCCTTTTGACACTAAACATGGACCCAAACACAGACACCCATCTATATTTCAGTGGCTCAAACGAACCTGCGAATTCAGGCTCCTTTGTGCAATGAAATCAATGATTAAGAGGCACTTAGAGAATTCTGGCAGACCCCCGGTTGGTTGGAAATGTTGCGCAACATTCCCTACATCTTGGTCAACATGTGGCAGAAAAGTGAAAAAAACACAGAAGACCAACATATAAAAAGCGCCAAAAACAAACAAGCCGGAAAAACACAACTCTGTGCTTATATTGTACAAACCTGCCTTCGGACATCTTCGGACCATACGTGCCCTGCAGTTTGAACACCATTTTGTTTCTAATTACTTCCTTTTGCTTAACTTAGTTGCCCAACGCAAATAGACTTTTTTACCTGTTGGTTTTCCATAGTGCCTCGCAGTCACAAAAGGTTTACCCTGTTTGTTTGTTTGTTTGTTTGTTTGTTTGTTTGCTTGTTTGCTTGTTTGCTTGTTTGCTTGTTTGCTTGTTTGCTTGTTTGCTTGTTTGCTTGTTTGCTTGTTTGCTTGTTTGCTTTTTTGCTTGTTTGCTTGTTTGCTTGCTTGCTTGCTTGCTTGTTTGCTTGCTTGCTTGTTTGCTTGTTTGTTTGCTTGTTTGCTTGTTTGCTTGTTTGCTTGTGTTTTTGTTTGTTTGTTTGTTTGTTTGTTGTTTGTTTGTTTGTTTCTATGTTTGTTTTGATTTGTTTTTATGTTTGTTTGTTTGTTTGTTTGAGTCTATGTTTGTTTTGTTTGTTTGGTTGTTTGATTGATTGATTGATTGATTGATTGATTGATTGATTGATTGATTGATTGATTGTTTGTTTGTTTGTTTGTTTGTTTGTTTCTATGTTTGTTTTGAGTTGTTTCTATGTTTGTTTGTTTCGATTTGGTTCTATGGTTGTTTGTTTTGGGCTCCGTTGGGCTGTTCACGCGCGCCCACGCGCTTCTTCTCCCCAGTGGAATTTGAGCTTGACGTGTAGTTTTTACCGCGCCTGCCGCGTTTTCGTGGGGTGGGGTGGGGTGGGGTGGGGGGGAAGTGCCACGCCCCCTGCAACCGGAAGTCTCTCTTTTGGGGGTAAAGCTTTCTATTCCTCTTGTCTGTTTTCATGGGACCCCCTACGACATAAAAGGGAGCCCTGGCTTGTATGTTTTAATGGGACCCCCTACGACATAAAAGGGAGCCCTGGCTTGTATGTTTTAATGGGACCCCCTACGACATAAAAGGGAGCCCTGGCTGTTTGTTTGAGAGACTTCGAAAAGGGGATACACAATGCGGTTCCCAGGGGACGTGGCAGCAGTTGGATCGTGGCGAACATGGCATCATGTCACCAGGGCACACATGCTGGCCAAATGATAAGCACACCCGCTCACGCGCATGCTCAGCACTGTACCCATGCCTGCCAAATGATAAGAACACCCGCTCACGTGCACGCTCAGCACTGTATCCATGCCTGCCAAATGATAAGAACACCCAGCACTGTACCCATGCCTGCTAAATGATAAGAACACCCGCTCACGCGCACGCTCAGCACTGTATCCATGCCTGCCAAATGATAAGAACACCCGCTCACGCGCACACAAGCCCCTGGCTCCCTGGCAGTGCTTTTGGGGCGTGTTTTAAGTAGTGGGAGGATAGAAAACAACCCTGGACTCTTCAACTCTGACTCAGCAGTCTGAACATCCGAGTGACTGCACCTCTGTTGCCACTGGCGTTTGAGCGGGGTCGAGGTTTTGCACTCAATCCTTTTTTGTGGGAGACCATTTCTTGAATTCAGGGCTTGTTGAAGAACTTAACCTCCAGTCCACTCAAGCGGAGTGAACGCGAGCCATTGCTGCTGTCTGTGCAGAGGGCTCATTCAACTTCCTTAGTTCTAGGCACTTGATAGTATCATGGCATTCGAGCTCGATGTGGATATACTGCTCGCCCACTTGACTGCGCTTGGGATGGCTTTTCGAGTCACTTACACAGACCTGGCGCATCGACAGCGCATTTTGGCCAGCTCGCTGGAACCTTTGCGCCTAGTGGCCGTGGAGCTCTTTACTTTGCTGGCCCCTTCGGAGTCGGACTACCTGGTGCCTCTGGGGATTCTGGCCCACTGCTTGACGAGTTTGCAAGCGGCCTCTCCGTTTTTCGAGCACCTGGAGCTTGTCTTTGCGGACTTGCCAGAGGTCTGGACTTCCGTCCCGCCCATGACATTGCCCCAGCTGCTTCTAGCGCAGTGTCGAGCCTCGCATGCGCAGGCAGCCACACACTTGCGCAGAAACATCAATGAAGCGTGTCGCACGCTGCGTGCCATGTGCTTCAGTTGCAGAGAGCGTTGGTCATCAGTCTTTTAGCGTCAGTTTCCACAGTTTGGGTTTTACACCTAGTTTTCCAAGTGGTGGCCTGGCTTTGCTCGCGAGGCCTTACCTCTTTCGCTGCTGCACGATGTGGGAGCGGCTGTCTGAGAGTCTGCTAGACGTGCTGCGTGAGATTGCTTTCAGCCTTTTAGAGTACGAGAGCTGCCAAGGACAGCCGGAGCCCGAAGCCGCATGATTTGAACGACCCGCGCGAGTTTTTGTCAAAAAAAAAGAGCAAGAACGTGTCCATTTCTCGGAGTGCGCACAAGCTTGGTGGTTTCCCGCGTTCTAAATATTTTTTTGGGTGTATATAGTTCCCCTCTTTAAAGGTTCCCGTTTTTGGGGGACGATGACGATCTGCTTTGAAGACGGCTGCGCATGTCTGAGGTCCGACAAGCTTGGTGGTTTCCCGCGTTCTAAATATTTTTTGGGTGTATATAGTTCCCCCTTTTTAAAGGTTCCCGTTTTTGGGGGATGATGAAGATCTCTCGCTTTGAAGACGGCTGCGCATGTCTGAGGTCCGACAAGCTTGGTGGTTTCCCGCGTTCTAAATATTTTTGGGGTGTATATAGTTCCGCCTTTTTAAAGGTTCCCGTTGCACGCGCATCAGACCTCTTCGTTATGGGGTTGGCGGCTATTTTGGGCTCATTGAGCTTCACCTGTGCGCGAGCGAGGACGCCGGCATGCGGCAGGCGTTTGCATTTTGCCAAGCTTAGAATGCTGGGGTCGGTTTGGCAATGGCAGCGCCTCCCTTGTCTCCGGAGTCCCCTGGAACTGTCGATGCATTTTTGGGGCATGCTGAGCGGGGAGACACATCGCCGCCGAAGACTTTGGATTCTCCTTGGACACGGCGTTTCAAGAGTGCTTTGTCTAGATGTGGGTTTTTTGGTAAAGTGTTTTCGTTCTTTTCAGAATGTTCGAGGTAAAGTGTTTTCGCTCTTTTCAAATGCTCGATCTATATGTTGGTAATTTGGACCCATGTGACTTAAGGTTGGCGTTGGAGGCAAACAGCCGCGCTAGTTGCTTATCAAGGACCGCCGATGTCTCCGGTCAGCGTGGCTTCGTCGGTTTCGGAGCAGGACGCTGTAGATGACAGCCAGGCAGATTTGTGTGGTTCAGGGCTGCAAGGGCACGTTGTTCTTTGGGGTCACTGTCTTTGCTTTTCCGCAATTGCCTTGTAGGCCATGGAGTTTGCGAGCCACGAACACGTGCCTGATGAAGGTGAGCCGCGTGTGCCGGACTTCAGTGCGTCAGCTGAGATCCAAGACAACGCAGCGCAGCCTGTGCAGCAGACACATGATGCTCGCTCTTTTTCTTGGAGGGCGCTCGAGAATCGAGCCCCGAGTGTGAAGGCCACGAAATGGGGCAGATGCGCAAAGTGCGGGTATGCTCAAGCCCCGCATGTTTTCGAGAGCGGACGCCGCTCTGGACAGGCTGTGCTTCTTTGTTCTCGTTTCTGGAAACGAGGTGTGGCAGGGGAGAGATTGTGTTGGAACTCTGTGCCTGCTACATCGGCTCAGTTGCGTTTGTTTCCTGAGTACTTGAAAGAGGTGCGCAGGTCTTTGTGGGCATGCTTTCAGCGGGGGCGATGCTGAGATTTCTTCTCGCGCGGGGGAATGTGAGCCAGAGCACTTGCATGCCAGATTGTTGTTCTTGCCTGATCCTCTTACACATTGAGTTCCTTGTTTGGAAACACCCCCCTGGTTTAAGGGCCCTCAGAGCTGATTTTCCCTGGGGCTGTTTTTTTTTGAAGCTTGGAGGGAGTGACGCTGCCCAGCTTTGCATCTCTGATCGCCTCCTACACATTGAGTTCCTTGTTTGGAAACACCCCCCCTGGTTTAAGGGCCCTCAGAGCTGATTTTCCCTGGGGCTGTTTTTTTTTTGAAGCTTGGAGGGAGTGACGCTGCCCACCTTTGTGTTTTTGCATGGCCGGTCAGAAGGCTCAAGATGCCTCTGTCCGCATGGGTGGTTCCAAAATCAGGCCAGAAAAGTTTCAAGCTCCGAAGAAGAAGGCATCGCGCAAAATCCGTGCTTCCGTGAGCAACACCCACCATGTCAAGCTTGGGTTGCACAGCAGCACTGCCTCTTCTGCCTTGAAAGTCAGCCAAACCCTGCGCACTTTCAAGCAACAGTACACTTTTGCAGATGTGGTGACCTGGACTGATGCAAGGGCAGAGAAGTATTTGAAAGCTTCTGGCGTCTTGCCAGGGTCGCGTTCTGAAAGAACGAGTCTGTGTTGGGAGTGCGGAGGTCGCCTGGTGGCTTGCACTGCTTCGTCTTCCAGCACGGGAGCATCGGCTGTTGATGTGCTGCAGTGCAGATCATGTCGGACGCCAGGTCGACATCCTTTGCAACTGGCCCAGTCAACTTTGGCATACACACCGTTTTGGAGAAGCGCTCGGAAGTCCTACCAGCCACAGTATGCACTATGGCTGCGGACGGCTTTTGCTGTTGGCGTTAAGATGCCCCAAGACACCATGCTTCATTCTGTTCCTGACTCCGCCAACTCATTGAGCCCGGACCTCTTGGATCGATGGGTGCATGAAATGCGGTTCGCCTTGGCCTTCCTGCACATGCAAGAGCAGCAAAACATCAAGTTCAGCAGCGAGATCTTTGAGATGGATGGATCCAAAAACTGTACACACAAGAAGACATCGCGGCCCAATTTTTTGCTGCGACGCCGCCGGCTGCGAGGAAAGCAAAGTGTTGATGACAGGCCTGCGCACAAGCCAAGACTGGGTGGCTTTGCAAAACGCAACCACAAAAAAAGAGGTACAGACAGGAAGGTGGTCCATCATGGTCGCATGCTGTTCCTTCGAGGTCGCTTTACAAAAGCTTCTGTTGCAGTGCCCATGCCTCCGAAGAGATCTTGCGCAGGGGCGCCAAGCCCGCCAGAAGACAAAGCCACTGTCATGAGATCTATGCGGAAGCATGTGGATCTTGCCACATGCGTGGCAGGAACGGATTCTGGCAAAGCTCTTCTGGCGGCCTGTAGAGACTTGAAGGTTCCTAATGCCGCTGCGAGACATGCCCACGATGAGATGAGCCCTGTTATACGTCTCAAGAAGTCAGCAATGACCGAAGGTCAACTTGCTACTTTAAAAGAAGCCTCTGCCATGAAAAAGCCAGCTGCAATCGAACGTTGCAGAGACATGCTGGTGGTTGGCGGTGATAACAGCTGTGAATCAGAAGTGTCACGTGTCAAGTCTCAAATGAGACGACAAAACCAAATGGGGCGTGTGAGCCCAATGCAGGCACACATCGTGCAGCTCGCAGGTCGCATGCTGTTGCAGCGCCCAGGCTTAAGTACAGTCCTGGAAGCGTTTAAAACGTACAGGATGGCACGCCAGAACTGCATGGGATGTCCTCCTGATTCTTTTTTGGTGCTGAGCAAAGACAGCGCCTGGCTTCTGAGAAGCTGACGAGAGTGAGCAACGCCCGCGCCTAAAAAGCGCGCGTGAACAGCCAAGTGGACCGTTGTTTTGCTTTGTTTGCTTTGCTTTGTTTGTTTGTTTTGCTTTGTTTCTATGTTTGTTTGTTTTGCTTTGTTTGTTTGTTTTGCTTTGTTTGTTTGATTTCTTGTTTGTTTTCTTGATTGCTTGCTTGCTTTGTTTGCCTGTGTGCCTGTTTGTCTGTTTATTTGGTTGTCTGTTTATCTGTTTGTCTGTCTGTCTTTTTTGTTTGTCTGTCTTTCATGATCCGACACACGGGGATCTACCTGTTTGAACAGGCCCAACACGCATCCATGGTCCAAAGACTTGTTTGTTTGTGGGATCTCCTCTGACACAGCCTTATGTTTGAGGGTAGCGTAAATATTTGTTGTGTGCACCCCAGATGTGGGCCGACATTTGGGTATGGGTGAAGATTAATCCGCCAGATAACCGCAGGTTTTAGTCCTTGTTTCCATTTACCAGGGTTCCATTTTGGGCACCTTTTTTGGACCCACAGCCATTTGGGGTTACACTCACCCGCTCCAGGTATCCCATCCTGGAACGCTTGGTGAAAGCTGCCACAGCCTCTGCCTGAGCCTCAGCCACCTCTCGGGATCCACGGCCATCAAACACTTGGGGGCCAATTTGGCCGTGGTTGCCAAAACCAATGGGATCCCATTTTGGTTGGTAGCTGAATTCACCACCCATTTTAGAACCGGGATTTTAGTGGTTGAATTGGGATGTTCACTGGGGGTAGCGGATTTTGACCCACGGCCATTTGACTGCCATTCCGCGGGGGGGATGGGGTGTTTGGAGTGGAAGACCGCAGGAGTTGCCCCATTGTTCGCGAGGGCTCCTGCACGTGAATCTCAGTTTTCCAAAGCGAATTGTTGGTGAACCGTGGTGAACCCAGGATTAGCCATGGTCCAAAGGCGTATTCGATTGAGGGCCCCTTTGGTCCGGAGCCATTTAACTTATTTACCGGTCGTGATTATTGAGGCCACTCTCGATCGTCCCTTTGTATGCTAGATGGCTGGTGGAGGCTTTCCGAACGTTTCAAGCGGGATCGGGGATGATGATATAGACCCTGCAAGCTCGGATTAAAGGAATCCCGATCACTTTCTTCAGACGCTGGATGTTAGCAAAACTTTCCTGCCCCACGCAGCTCAATGACAGCTGAGTACTCCGTGCACAAATTTCTAGGGGAGGTACAGAGCACCAAGCCGCATTGCACAAAGGAAAGCAATGCGACACAGAGACCGAGAGGCATCTAATGAACTCGTCTCATGCTCGTCTCTAGAATCTCAGCCCACCTCTACGTTGTATCGTGCTCTGTTTCAGGGTGACCCTGCGGTCAGCACGATCATGGTCAATTTATGCATCAGGTTGTGGATGTATTGCTTTAAATCAAGCCCCCTCCGAGCCTCCCCACTTGGATTCGTCTAGTTGAGGATGTTTGGGTAGGGTTCTAGTCGTCTTGCTGGGTTGTTTAAGATGATGCCTGATGCCAGGTGTCACACGACGGCTCCCTAATGAATCGAGTGTTTCCATCTTGGATCAGCGTCTCAATCCCAGGTGGAAGGTCATCCCTTGATTTAACTTGTGTTTACACAACTCTCCACTTCGAGGAAACTAATTTGGGTGTGGCTCAAAATTAAACTGGAGGGGTTACGCAGGTTTTGGTCCATGTTTCCACTTACCAATGTTCCATTTTGGTACTGGTTTGTTCATCCATTTGGGTGTGTCGTTTTTTGAGTTGATTCCTCTTTCTCTTGGTGGTTTCACAGGGCTCCTTAAAAGATACATGTTGCCACCATCTGAAACATGTTTTGCTTTTTCACCAAAACAAAGCTGTTTCCCACCATTTACAAGTTGCAATGTTCAGGTGTTTTCATGCAAGGATTCCTTTAAGAGGAAGCTGATCTTCCAGGTCTCCACTTCCGCGGATGCCAAAAAAATTGGTTGGAGGGGTGCCTCTTTCTCTTGGAAACCCACGGGGGAAGTTCCCAAAAAATTCCGCTGCGCACCAAGGACCGCCCGGTCCCCCGGGCCCGGTCACCGAACGGGCCTGCGGCCCAGCGGGCTCTTCCTGGTGCCTTTCTGCAGGTCCCCCAGCACTCGGTGCCCTTCTTTAACCTGTTTCGGTTGGGAGGGAACCCCTAAATCGACTGAGGAAAGATGGTACCCTGATTCTGACCTAACCAACATCTAAAGGTTTCGTCCATGTAAAAATTCACGAGCCGAAGAGAGAGAGAGAGAGAGAGAGAGAGAGAGAGAGAGAGAGAGAGAGAGAGAGAGAGAGAGAAAGAGAGAGAGAGAGAGAACGAGCGAGAGAAAGAGAGAGAAAGAGAGAGACAGAGAGAGAGAGAGAGAGGGAGAGGGGGGGGGAGAGCTTTCTTGCTTGCACTTTTCAGCAGGTTGCGAGTCGCACCGAGTACCCACGCTCTTCCCACGCTCAGGAGCCCTGAATGCTCACCGGAGGTGCCGTGGTTGCCGCCTTCGTTAGATCGATTTTCGAGCGTTGTGGAAAACATCTGGGATTCCACCCCGAAAATCCACTGAGTGGACCACTTTTTTGGGATTCCAGGGACCAACCTCAATATGAAGCAAGTACCAGCAGTGGAAAACCGGAGTTTTGGGTTGGCAATTTCTGTGATAGCTTTCGGGGATCCAGCTCAAAAGTTGAGAGTAGTCACAGGAATGGCCCAATTTGGTATCACAGAAAGGGTTGTAGTAGTAGGGGATATCTTAGGAGCTTTCTGACTTGCCCGGAGCAAATCAATCTTCAATCTTGCGGTTTTCTAGCTTTGACCCAAGAACTGGTCATGGCACGGAAAAAAGCCCAAACATTCTGCAGATTCTAGGCTGATCCCGTTTTCGCATTTGTTCGCCTCCTTTTTCGGGGTGGGGGGCAAGCATGTTACGCCAGGCGGAATTTGTCGTGACCTGTTGGAGTGGTTGCGAGGTCCGCCTCTCACACCGTTCAGACACCCAACGGAATGATTTATGATTCCAAGCTGTTAATACAAACCAACGCTGTCGCTATTCTTTCATCCATAGTTTCATTTCGTGGTGCGAGATGGTGTGCGTCCATCCACGGCAACTTTAAGACATTCAGTGAGGAAACAATTCGAAAGACCAATTCAAGTCAATCCGAGAAAAGTCCAAGCATGTCTGAAGTAAGTGACCTTCCTCGGGTGCAAATCAAGAGAGAGCTTCCATAGCTTCCATTTGGTTAATACTATTTTTTATTTTCCCCTGTTGTACAGGGAATCTATCACTACTGGATTTTGTATGTTTTTTTCCAGGCGGCTTAAGCAAATGGAGGATAGGCAAGGGCCAGTAGCTCCAGCCAGCAAAGGTGGTCAAGGACCCTGGTGGCCAGATCGTCCACGGGGTACCCGGCATCTGAAGTTCTGGCTCAGTCGACTCGGCTATGCACATCTTGGGTGAAAAGATGCATGGAATGTGGCGAACTGGCGGAACAGCTTGCGACTGCCTTGTTCTCGGTTTCTTTTCCAAGCAATCCAATCGATGAGTTGTGTTCAGTGAAGGATGAAGGTCCCTCTCTCTCTCTCTCTCTCTCTCCCCCTTGCTCCCTCTCTTTGTTTCTTTCCAGAGTTTGATTCCCAATTCTTTCAACCATCCTTTTTTTTCAAAAACCAGCTGTTAGCCCTGGGTGTTTGCTGCCTTCCTGAAAAGAAATATCCATGGAAGGAATGGAAAAGCTTCCCCTAGATTCTTGCTTTCAGTCTCTCCGTTTTTCAGCCTCGTTTCCCCCGCCCATCACGGCCACAGCTTCGCGCATCCAGCGCCCAAACCGCTTCGATGGGCATTGAATTGCCAGGTGCCAGAAGCGACGTGCGGAGCCTCGGGGATTTGAACCCGAACTCGCCTCACAATTAACTCAGTTGTTCAGTGGCTCCAATTCTTTTCCCTTGTTTTTGGTGGCTGCCCCACTAAAATGGTCCAAGCCCAAAAAAGGGTTCCCTTTTTTTTCCAGGGTCACTGAACAACTGAGTTAAAAAATAAAACCAAGCAGAAAGGCTTATCCGCAAAAACCACGTGTCCAAGTACCCAACGGCAGAGTTTGTTTCTCGACGTCACATATTCTCCTTTCACCTATTCTCCCATTTTGTCCGATGTCACATATTATCCTTTCTTTTTTTTGTTCGGGGGGAGGGCACCGAAATGCTCACTTGGGTGAACTGGACATACGCCCATGTATGTAGAGAGTATTGCGTTGATGTTCCTGGGTAGTCACCCAAGTGATGTATTGGCGGGCCTGCGCTCCATTCTAGCCTTTTTCAACCGGATAATTTTTGACGTTCAAGGGTCTGTGCGCCAAATGTCACCAGGTACGCACGCAGTGGGCAGCAAGGATGAGTCGATTTTTAATTGGATCACATGCGTCTGGACTGCGCATTATGCGGATGAGTTGCACACTCTTAGCTAGACAAGTCATGCGGGTACCAAAGGCGTGGCGTCTTACAATGGGACCAAACTTGAAGTTCGCTTTTGCTGTGCCAGTCACCAAGTCAAATTGTCCCGTTGAGCGGTTTTTGAACAGCCGTGCCCCTACCCAATATATGTTGTTTTCAGGATGGCCCATTGGACGAAAGAGGCTTGGCGCCCAGCTAGTCTTGCGAGCTTTAAAACACCGACTGTAGCTCACCAGTGAAAAAGTCTCATGTTTATTCTCACTTGCCCCTTTTTAGCCTACCTTTCGGTTTCCCCTTTTGGTCCATTTTCAGGTCCGCCAAGAGGCGAACCTGTTTTGTTGGTTTTGGAGCAAAGCGGTTTTGTCCACCTGTTGGTATGGTATGGTATGGTATGATCAGGACAACCGCAGCCTGCCCCTACAAAGATGAGTCGGGGTGACCGTCAGTTGCCTCCCGCCAGCCAGAAAGGAGCCTAAGTACCCTAAGTAACCTGTTGTTGTTATTAGTGTTTGCCCGCATGTTGATGGCTTTTTCCGGGGTTTCGTGATGGGTTTCTGAGCGAACCGGAAAATCACAGGTTCGCTTCCGAGGCCTTCGGAGAAGACCTTCGACTCCCTGTCCACCGTCCTGGGCTCGGGGGCTGGGAGAAAAGACATGGCTAATCATAGATGTTTATGAATATATATATATATATTATATATTATATGTATATATATATATACAAACACACATTGAAACGATCTATCAGCTAAACATGTTTCGTAGCAAAAGAAAGCCATCACACAACAAGCAAAGCAATACCCGCAAAGAAGGTAGGCGAAATCGACCCCCCAAGTTCCCACCATAGGGGCTAGGGGCCTTGTATGTTTGTGGAGGTTGAGTCCTTCAAAGCAACGCATCAAGAAATCACGGGCTTTTGGTGATGCATTGGGTTCTACCATGGGTAGGGGGAGGGCGGGGGAGCTAGAACCTGGAACTTATATAGCTTGCTCTGCATCTGTAAGATCTATGGCGCGTCGACCAGGGGTAGTTCGAAATGGTCATGACCACAAGTGTCCTTTTTGGTTGGCATGGTTGAACAAATTGAGGGCAGTTTGCCTGGTGGTTTTAGCGCCTGCGGTATTTCTGCGTTCAGTGTTGATCGGGTTTTTTTGTTGGGGGGTCTGGCAGCCCCCTTTCTTGCCTCCAGCGGGTTGCTGAGGATCGGTTTTGAGGCGCAAAAGTGGTCATTTGTATACCCAAAGCCCCGTGAATGGCCCGAAAGATGCAGAGAGGTTCTCGAAACCCATCCAGCTTTGATGCCTAGTGCCTGGTGATGGGTTCTGAAGGGTAAACATGTGGTCATTTGGCACCGGCACCTTAGCTAGGCCTTAGGGCAAGAGTAGCATTGGGCGCCTAAGGGTCCGTCACCCCAGAGAGATCATCCAAACCATTCTCCCTAAGTGTTCCCATAATATATGTCTTTCTTAAACTTCTCCCCCACCTTTTTTAGGGGACCCCCAAAATGGCAGTTTTCCTTTTGGCTTCCCTTTAAAGGCATCTAAGAAGGGGAACCCTCAAAAAAGACACACCAAGGTTTCCCCGAGCTTTTCTGATGAAAAAGGGAAGCGACCCAAGTGCTTGAGGTGCAATCCATTGAGCTCCCGGACACAGCGTCGGAGGGCGATGAGAGGAGTCCTTGCGGTTTTCCGAGCTGGGGCTTCCTCGCGAATTCGCATGGATTCGAAATAAACCAAAAGGAAAGCTAAAGTGGGTTTTTCAGTTTGGAGAACCCTTGTACTTCTCCCCCCCTCCCCAACAAAAAAATGCAAGGGCTGCCTGCGAACGACCTGGTTGACATTCATGTGAAATCCTTGTTTGCACAATTTTGAATTGAACATGAGCCTGCGGCATGTTCCATGGCAAGTTGGGCGGCGTGTGCTGGGGCCGTCGCCCAAACCAGATGTTTGAGGGATCGGGATGTTGTTGAGGATAGTTTCATCGACGGTTTGTGTCATTTAGAGGGTCTTGAGTAATTACCTTGCTTCTTGAAATGGCACGGGCGTGTTTCAGCAGAGTCCTTTTTTGCCTTCATCGGCTCGCCAACCGTGAGGGGCCCGGCTCGAGATAGGAAGAGCAGCTTGCAACAACCACGGCTGAGCTTCAGCTACAAGCGGAAACAAACATGCACTTAGCCAGTTGCAACACAGACAGAAAACGGAGCGCGTGCTCCAAAAACTGCGTCAAGGTCCTAAGGTTCAGCCCCGGCCGGGGCCTCAACTGGGCGCATGTTTGGCCTTCGGAGTTCGGAGGAGGGGGGGCTGCATTAGGCACCAGGCGGGCAGATCCATTTGGCACCAGTTGAGATTGGTGGATTGAATTCCGATTTCATCCAGTGGTGCGAACTGGACGCACTTTGTATCCACAAACACTGTCCACCCGCTTGTTGACTCGGAGCGCGCTTTTGGGCGAGCGCGGGGGGGGGGGGGGGCGGGGGCGAGCGTTTTCTTCAGAAGGCGCAACGAAGCTGAAGCTGCAGCGAGCGGAACCCTCCAGTTTGCCCAATAGAGGGGTTGGGTGGTGAATCGGACCGCTTTTGAGGGGGGAAGTACCCCCATCACTTTTGGAGGGGGAGGAACCCCCCATCACTTTTCGAGGAGAAGGAACACCCCCTATTAATCCACTGGGGTTGATGAATATGTGGTCAACATCGAATGTGTCATTTCCAGTCTTTGGATCCTGGAGTTCGGATCTTTCTGGAGCTTGAGGCCATGCGCTCGAACCGACGAGGAGGAGCCGAAATCCGCACTGGTTGCAAGGGGTGGGACATGAAGAGTACGGGTTCGTCTCTTTCGCACCCCCAAAATGGTGGCTATACTCTTGATGTTTTCCTTAACCACCAAAACTAAGCACCGAGGCTCAAGAAAAGACACACCCAAATAGGAAGCCCTTGAAAAATTGGGTGTGCCCTTTCGGTTTCCCTTTAAAAAAGGTTGACTACCATTTCTTTAAAGCCCCTCAAGTCATGCCGGAATGTCCAATGTTGGTGAGGAGGGCATTGTTTTAGAGTACATGTCCATGATGTTGTCCCTTGAGTTTCAAAGGCGGGCACACATATTTGTCTCGCGTAACTCGAGAGCTCGAGGTTGACCTCTGAGAGGTCTGGCCGAGTGAACCTGGGTGCCCCGTTGTGAGATTGGCCTGCATAAGCATCCCTTCCAGCTGATACATCCGGCAGTAAGCGCCAAAGAATTCGAGTTCATTTGGCTGGTGCAGGGTCCCTCAGATTGTGAATTTTCCTCGGCGTTCGTGTTGCACAGTGCCAGCCGCTCGATGATATCCCTCTTGAAAAGAGAGTATCCTCGGACATTGTAACCTTCCATTTGCTTAAGAGTATTGCTTTTATTTTCCCCTGTTGGCTTTAAAAGGAAATTATCACTACTGGAAATATATTTTCCAGGGGTCTTAACCAAATGGAAGTAACTCCTTGCTTTTGAGTTGTTGTAGGCCAAGTTCCTATCGAACTTCCAGACATCGGTTATGCGCTGGGTTTGGTCGCGCCAGGTCTACTCGTAGCAGTGGTGGCGCTGGCAGGACCGTGAGGGGTGCTGCAAAGCGATCAACCAGATGTCCTTTTGTTTTCCGGCCGGACTGAGTAACCAAGCGCCTTGCGTGTGCTGTTTTTGAGGGTAACCCCTTTCTTGGTTTTTCTGGGAAACCATGAGGAAACCACCATTTTGGGGTCCAACCTTAAAAACACCACGCACGCAAACACGCTTGTTTCTGAGAGCGCGCACAACCCTGGCCTGAGAGGATTGCGCTGGCGCGGTGTCTTTGTGGGAGGCCAGGGTCGGGTTTCATATCCTTCGGATCCTCCACGATTCTAAGGTTGGATTCCCCATTCGCACTCGTTCTCGTTAGAAACCGGCTATGTTCCAGGGCTTTGGCCCATTTTTGAAGAGAAGGATGCCTGAGAGCGGGGCAGGTTAAAAGATACATTTGGCAACCATTTGAAACATGTTGCTTTTTCAACACCAAAATAAGGGGGATTTACCACCATTTACAAGTTGCAATGTTCAGGTCTTTTTCATTTAAGGACCCTCCCTTCTACTAACATAGCACTTATTAGGGGGTTCCTTTGTTAGGCAATGTTCAGGTGTATAATGCATCCGGATCCCTGTTGCTTCTTTGCAGGGTGTTTCCTTTGACCTACAAAATGGAACCGGGTTAGACTTCCAGACTTGGAGAAGTTCACTTGGCGCAAGTGCCAAAGGTGCCAACTTTCTAGAAGGGACACAGCAGGGATCCTTCTCAAACAGCAGGGTGTCCCGGACAAAAGCACGTATTTGTCCCATTCTTTGCAGGGATCCGAATCTTTTCAGAAAAGCATCAGAAGTTTAGGAGAAACAGCGATCGGTTTTTGAAAAGAACGATGGTTGAAAAGAATGGGAAAGGAATCAACCCCTAGAAACTTTAGCAAGGCTTTGTCAACAAGGTCCTGTTGGGGTCCTTTAATGCTTTTCCGTTCGCCAAGTAGCCGCAAGCTGTTTGCAAGAATTTGGGTCGTCTGAAGCGTTCAACTCCAAGTGACCGTTCAAGCCTTTGTGGCCATGAATCAAAAACTCAATAGAGGTGTGTCTTTTTGGGGGCGACTCCCTGTTGGTCGGTTTTAAATGGACATCGGGGGGTGTCCAACATCGAGACCATGCGGTGGACCAAATCCAGATTTTCACATTACGGATGGTGCGCGTAAGGTGCGGACCCTAGGCTCTCTCCAGGCATTGAAGCAGACGAGAGGCCTGGTGCATTTCATGGGAGCTATGACAACTGCAAGCAGGACTTGTACGAAAGCACATGCTTCCTTTTACTAAAAAGTATGTGTTGGCACTAGAAGGATGAGGGCTATACAAGATGCGTTGATGACTTGATGATACATCGGAGCAACTGTGAATGTTCGCCATCATCCGCCGCTCAAAACGGAAATGACACACGCACCACTCAGCACACGATCACAAGTGAATTTGAAACTCATCAAGCTCCACTGTCCTTTGAGGGGCACAATTAACAGTGACCCGTATCAGCAGCCCACAATACTACTATCAGTCTACTGTTCATGTGGGCAGCATGACACGGAGGCTGTTTCACCACCAAGCCCAGCAGAAATCGAATGATGGGCCTGCAATCATGACTGCTGTTTTTTGAACCCACATCCCCATTCTAGTTATTAAGGCCCTTTGTGTACATAGATCAATGCTTGTGTGGGTCCTTGTGTTTGCTTCCATTTGCTTAAGAATATTATGGTTTTCCCTTGTTGATTTTAACAGGAGTTTATCACCACTGGACATATTTTATTTTCTTTTTTCTCGGGGGTCGGAAAAGCAAATGGAAGCATAGGGTTGCACGCCTTTTGGCTTCTCTTTGGAACAGGGTTGTGGGATCAAGGGGTTTATCCCCACTTCTGCGACACAAGGGAATCTCCCCCTTTATATGGGGGGTTAGTCTTTGGGAAGCCCTTTTTGTCGTATCACAGAAGTGGATTCCATTTCCCACAACCCTGCTTTGGAACCACTTCAGACGGGTACCTCAACAAAAAAGCCTTTGGGAAGAAACGGCGATGGAAGTTTAGAGAAACCAAATGGAAGTTTTCTTGATTTTCTCCCTTTGGAGGCTGGCGGCCCTGCAGCAGCGTGCTAGCGAGGCCTCGGGGGGGAAGAGAAATCATTGGCTGTGAGGCCGCCCTGGACGGCAGGTGGACAACATGAGTGACCCTTTGGTGGGACCCATGTGGCCATGGTTCAAAACCAATGGGATCCCATTTTGGGATGGTGCACCACCCATTTTAGTCTATTTTAGTGGGGATTGGGATGTTCACTGGGGGTAGGGGGGGTTTTGACCCATGGCCATGTGTCTCTTTCTGCTTTGTGCCTGTGTTCTTGTGT